AGAGCAAGGAATTATAATGTTACTGTTGTACTACCAAAAATCAGGAATCTTTGCTAGTTGACTGCTGTTCACACAAAGAAAGATCTGCAGGAGATTCTCTGAATCTTTGGCTTAAAGTCACTGAAATCTGCTATTGGTAGAAGACATGCCATGAAGATGGGTTATGTTGCAGTAGTTTGAGGGCTATGGGGAACATAGTCTTTCTAGAATATATGGTTATTCTTTGATCTAGTATCATGCTACATTAACATTATATTAAATTTATAGGGTGATGCAGGACTAACAGGGCTACCTGGCATAGAGGGCCGCAAAGGTAAAAAGGTAAGATTCTTTTTTTTTTGTATGTGTGTTTGTAGGCCATTATTAAGGTTTATAATTACAAATAATGCTCTTGTGTAAAAGGAATTTATTACAGATTTCAGAATGTGAGGTTGCAATTCATCATCCGAGCCACTCCTGATACTGAAAATGTAGGAAACAAAGTTTTCAATAACCAATAAGACTCCAATACTGTAAAACATTGTTTAAATAAATCTGTTTTAAAAAAGATGTTTTCAAGAAAAGCCCTGTTATAAGAATATAAATTACTTGAATACAGCATCATGGATGCCTTGGAAACTAAGAAAATTGACAAATTTCGTGGCAATTGAGGTGCTCCTTTTTTGACTGGAATTCTGCTATTTGGAGGAAATTGAGCATATTTTATATAAGAAATAAAAAGTATAGAGTATATAGGTTGAGATTATACTGTGTTTCTTCTGAGTTATGGTGAGCTTATGATTACTTATTTGGTGCAGAGTTCTTCACCAAATCTATTAAAGTGGTCAGAGTTGATTAGGCTAATTCAATATCTTAATATTTATAAACTGTCAAGAGACTCTTCGGGAACCAGAAAAGCATTACAATATTTATATATAATTATTTAGCATTCATATAATAAGCTATAAGACAGTAAAAAAAAGTACTTTGGAAATTTGATTTCTTCTTTCATTTTAAAGATCATACTTATTCATTTGCATAATGTCTCCCATGTTACATTACGTAGCCAAATCTCTCTATGAATCCAGTTGTGTGAAATATAGAGCTTTGCAGCATTATTGTTTGAATAATGCTTTGTATTTCTTAAGGATTCCACATCCTAGAACAGGGACAGAAAAAGATTAATATTAAATTTGATTGTTCTCTATTTGGCTAGTCTGATAACTAATCAACTTAGCAGTCTTTATTGATTGTCAGATCTGCATGAAGGCCTTTCCTTCAAGGATATAGGGTTGAATTTTATATTCTTTAAANAAGCAGCCATTTTTAATTTTATTTTCACACATGCATTATTTAAAGAAAATATTTGCATACTGAACTAAAGGTCTTGCCCAAGCATTCCTCTTTTATTTGTTTAGCAACTTTCTAAGCTAAAGGGTATCTTGTTACCTGAAGGGTAAAATACTGTAATGCTTTGATAGAGTCAAATCTAGTAGGCAGGTTGAAAGGGAGCTTCCGTAGCAGAAACTATTTAGATAGCTCTAGACAGCTGTATGGAATTCTGGGAAGCCTTCAACTCAGATTTAGTTAGAGCTCCTTGATAAATGAGTTACAGGATAAAAACAACTATAGCTATTTGTTCTAATACAGTTCCTTAGAGTGGGAATCTGACCTGCAGTGACAGGTGTTAAAAACTGCTCCCAGCCATTAAAATATATTAGATAAGCTTTGCACAGGTTAATGTAAAACAAGTACGCTGTAATTTTTGAGTCAACTAAGTATCTAGCACAGCAAATGGAGAATATTTTGACATATGAATCTGGGTTAGTAATGTTTGGGTTAATTTGAAAATTTAGGTTTTTGGGGTTGAAAGTTGAAAAACATGATTGATTCAAGAAGGAGGAGAAGCAACAAATTCAGGTGTAGTGAATAAAGTTTTGACAAGGAAAAGTTCCTTGTTCTTACACTTGCAGCTTCTTAATTTTCTCCTTTTGAGTGTAAGGAAGTGAAAATATAATTATGATAGACAGTGAGGAATTAATAGGCTAGACAAATGGCAATTCTTCAATTGGAGCCGGAGAAGAATTTAAGGGTCAGTAAAACTACCATTACTTTCAAGACAGATTTAATCCTTTCTAAATTAAGCTCAGTAGAACTTCATCAGCTTCTCTAATTAGCATGAACAGCTGTTTTTACCAAGATTATGTCAGCCTACATCATTACAATCACCAACAAGTTTGAGCAGGCAGCCAAAATAATTTTTTGGGGTTAATCCCAAGCTTTAATGTTCTGTGGGTTCTCAGAACACCTAACAGTTAATCTCTTGTTATTGATAGGATCCGCAGCCTGCTTGTAAAAAAGAAATAATAAAAATTTCACCTCTTCAAGTTTTAGAATAATTAGAAGAAACAGATAAGATTAAAAAAATGGGTTAATATTGATACATGGGTTAATATTGTATCATTTAAAAGTCATTAAGAAAAGGGAAATGAAGAAATGTCCCACACATTTTAGATACTGAACAAAGTTAGTGAGGTAAAATTTTGAAATAATTCAGTAATTGATTGTATAAATATAATTACTTCATTGTGCCATGTATTTTTAAATGGTTTAAGAGGCAAAGATACTTTATTAATATAGCTAGATCCTTTTCCAGATTTTACAAACNCATACACACACACACACACATACATACATACATACATACATACACACACACACACACACATACATACACACATATACATACATATATATACATATATAGATCATCTGCCTAATATGTAATACAGCCCAGGTTCAAATCCCAGTAAGGGTATGGCTAGCTGATGAGAGCTAAATAGCTTGAAATAGATCTATACTAGTCCCCCTTTATTTATTTATCAGCACAAATACAACACACACACACACAGATATATACACATGCATATGCATGCATACATACATACATACATCTACATACATACATACAATGAAGAGTTGAGACAGTTTTATCTCTTTAGCCTACATGAACCAATTTCGTTGTATTTAAGTACAATGACAATAAAGATTATACTTATGTTAAAAGTGTTAAAATTATGATTTGGGGAATGAGACAAGAAATAGTTTTTTTTCACAGTATTAAAACCTGCTAAATTAAATAGTCAAGATTCAGGGCAGAGAAAAGGAAGTTTTTTAATACTGCATTGTGCCAGTCTGTGATGGCTCGGTTTATACTGAAGTTGATTTTTCACGTGACGTGTTTATTGCAAAATTAAACCGCTTTGTGCTTCATAGTGCTCATAAAATCTTACTTGGATGGCTTCCATTAAGAGTTCAGTGTGAAACAGAATAAGAGATAACCAAACTAACCTGACAGGAGCAATTTGAGGCATAGGTTTTGGAAGCTCAAACATTGTCCTAGAACTAGGTTTAATCTGCACAGCTTTGTTCTTCTGAGGATTAGCAGGCAAAGGCTTCTGAGGAGGACTTGGTTTGCAAGATTCCTGCAACGTGGGAACAAAATCACAATATTGTTGCAATTCATTGATTTACACAAACATTTCTTTTAATAGATTTTATCCATGTACAATGCAGTCAATGATAAAGCACCAAAACATTGTTTATTATGAAGGGTATTATAAAGAATCTCGCTAAACAATTCTTCACAATTGTGTAGTTACAGTTTGCGATAGTTCAGCCAAAAAACTGAAGCTCCTTTTGATTTAGATTTTAATGTTTCTATTATTCTTCATCCTGCCCATCCCTCAGCATGCTTTAGTTGAAACAAACATTTGCATTACATGAATTTCCATGATTTCTATTTCTAGTAAATAATTAAAAAAAAAACATTAAGAAAAAATATTGTCCGGAAGGACATCTTGGAAAGTATTCAGGGCAGCTATGAAAGAGCTGGCAAAACTCTTTGGCAAAAATGCATGCCTTTTTTCTTTTTTCTTTTAGCATTCAAAGCTATCTATCAAATCTTTTAAAATGCTTTACCTACATAAATCTGTTCTTTATTTCAAAAAGAGAACATGACAAATGCGCCAAGAGCGGAAACACAAGAAGATCATTGTGTACATCTGTCATTGGGACATTTCCAAATTATAGCAATTTAATATCACTTTTCTGCCAGGCAGCCTGCTAAACGTTATCCTGTCAGTTATACCATGGCCCTTTTCCTATTAACTGTCTTGAAAATGAAACCCAAATTCTTATCAATTCTCATATTCCCCAAAAGGATGCAAGAACCAATAAGCATTTTATCAATATAGAACAATTAGCAGGTGCCAGAGCTAAGGCATAACTTCAGATAAAATGTAAAGTTAAATAGAAGCCTGGCTTTATGAATTATAAACTTGGTGATACATCTAGATTCAAGAATGAATAAAAATATCGAACACATTGCTGTTTTTGTTATTTTGATTTATATCCAGCCGTTCTTGCCATAGGAAACTTGAATAGGTAGCGCTGGGTTAATTGAAGTGTTTTCTTAATAGTTACACTCTGCAATAAACAGGTGAAACTCGAAAAATCTACAGGTGAAACTAGAAAAATTAGAATATCGTGCAAAAGTTCATTTATTTCAGTAATGCAACTTAAAAGGTGAAATTAATATATGAGATAAGACTCATTACGTGCAAAGCAAGATAGTTCAAGCCGTGATTTAGAATAATTGTGATGATTATGGTGTACAGCTCATGAAAACCCCAAATCCACAATCTC